AGGGGTGTGTCACAGGGGCCACCCCTGCTTGTCCCCGAGCTGCTTACAATGTCCCGAGGCCAGCCTGCCTCACAGCCCGAGCCTGCGGGTGCCCTCAGCTCCGCAGTGAGTAGAGAAGTCACTGCCTGCTGCCGGCTCTTCTGGGACCCGTGCCTCCTGCCCCCACCCCCGGCCTGTTCTTCAGAGAAGGGCCCCTGGCCACCGGCAGATCCTGGTGGGAGCCCCAGGGGAGTCCCGTCTGGAAAACCCCGGTGCTAACTACGAACAGACCGAATTCTCCTCCGAGAAGGCGGAGTGTCCGTTAGGAATTCGCAGTCAGAGAGGGGTCCCCAGGGCACGGGCGCATTTATAAAGCAGGTTTAATACTCACAAAGCTGAACGCACCCAGCTCGGTAACATGCGAGGCCATTGGTCGCTGTGGCAGCAAGCCTGGCAGGTGGTTTGAATTCAGAGCTAGTGACAAATAATAGAACGCACACGGAGCAATCGAATAATGTGGACGGCAAGCCTCCCCTACTAGGCACGTGAGAAGCATGGCTGTTTGAGGCAGGTGTTCACCTGTCCACGGAGCATGTCCAACCATGTTCATGTGTGCGACCGAGGAACGCCGTCACCCGTTGAAGAAGCCAATGTTTTCCGGCTGGAAAGCTGGACGGGGCACGTGCATCAGCAGCAGGCGCCCCGAGCTCTGGCGGGGGGCGGGGGCGGTGCCTGGGCACGTGACGGACATTTCTGAGTCTTTCCGAGTGTGTCCTCACCTCCTAAGACTCCTGTGAGCACGTCAGGCTGTAAACTCTCATCCGCTCTGCAGCGTGGTTCCCACACGAGGAGGTATTGCAGCAGCAAGTCCCCACGCCTCCTCGCCTGCAGGCCAGCGGCTGCTGCGTGGAGTGGCGGGAGCCAGCGGGACTCTAGGGAGGAAAGCGCACGGCCAGTGTGAATGGCCACCATTTCGCTCCTGCTAGCGACCCTTGAAAAGTAAAACCCGAGTGAAGTGCTCTGCCGCGCATGCGTGCGCTGTGCCGTCTTGGGCAAGTCGCTTCACCTCTCTGAGCCCCGGCCATAAAATGGTAACGACGATGCCCACCTCCTCGGGGTGCCGCGGACATTAGTGAATGCGGCTGTAAGGGCAGAGGGGGTCCTCTGCTGAGGACCGCGGGGAGCCCACCAGGGCAGCTGCTGGGGGTTCCCCCGGCCACGGAGCTCTCCTGCCAGGGAGGGCGGGAAGGCCCGGCCGGCTGGCAGCTCTGGCTGGCGGACCGCTCCCCTCTGCCCCGGGCGATGCCCCTCCCCCCACCTGGAGCCTGACAGAGCGCAGGAAGCTGGTTGTGGTCCCAGGCAGGGGTCCAGCTGCCCCCAGTGGCCATGGCGGCCAGCCTTGATGGCCTGTGGTGCGGGACAGTGGCCACTAGAGGGCGGCCTTTCCCTTCCGTGTCCCAGAGGGAAGGTGGCAAGTGGCTGGCGGGTGTGCCCGGCTTTGTCCCAGGAGGAGGGTCCCTAACCGGACAGGTGCACCTGGGGCGCTTGTCAGTGTCCTGAGAAAATGTCTCCAAAAAGGGTTCTTGCAACTCAGGAGACTCCCTCTGTCATGGAGAGTCCGTCACCTGTGGGCGCAGAGGCGGCGGGGACTCCAGGGCAGGGAGGAGGTCGGCCAGTGAGGCACCTACGAAAAGACTCAGTAATCAAGACCAACGTGTTTTAACACAACCGTTTTAAAAATCCAAATTAATGCAGACAAACCCACGATGAACAAAATATCACACATTTACAGAGACCGGCTCCGGCCCTGCACTTCACGTGCTCTCCCCTCGCTGCCTCAGTTTCCCCTCTGGGCTGAAGGACTTGGGCCCGGCTGCCCTCTGAGGCCTTTGTGGCTCTCGCCAGGCGGGGGGGCCCGCACTCCCGCCCCCGCGTGAGGTAGGGCTGGAAGCCCCATCGCCTCCCGGCACCTGCAGGTCCCTCTCCTTCGGAATTGAACCCAGTTGAGCAGAGCTGTGCCAGCTGGGGGTGGGGAACCCCGCGGGCTCGGTGCCCCCGGGCGGAACCTTCCGGGGTCTGCAGGGTGGCTTCTGCGGGTGGGCAGAGGGAGAGGATCCCAGACATGAGTGGTGGGAGGCAGCGAAATGGCAGAGCGAGGGCAGGCGAGAGCGGCACCTGAGACGGGTGGCGGGGCTCGGTCCCGTGCGGCCTCTGGGTGGAGTGCTCGCGACGTGCTGGGTCCTGTCCCAGGGGCTGTGCAGACACCGGCCACCAAGCCCTGGGGACAGCGGGGTCTGGAGGGGGCTACGGCCCCGGGAACAGCTTCCACGCTGGGCCGCCCCCGGGTTGTGCCAGCTGCAGAGCTCGGGGCCAGGCCCCGGGCGTCCTTACAACAGGAGCTGCCTGGACGGGCAGGGTTGGCACAGGTGGGAGGCGGCAGCGGCCTGGAGCAGAGCCGCCGGGTGAGGGCGGCACCCGGGGAGTGGGGGCCTCCATTGCAGCATCTGCAGGCTCGGTGATCCGACCCTCCCACCCCGGCCTGCCTCCTGCTGCCCTCTCTCTTTCTCTTCCAGAACGCCAGTCTGGTGCCTTGTGGAGCAGACCCGGATGCCAGCTGGGGCACGCGAGGTACACGGAGCGGGGACCCTAGGTCTCTGGCTGGGGCAGGGAGCACTAACACGGTCCCACAAACTTCGTTCTAACACCCCCCTCCCCTTGCCAGGCCGCCGGCAGGGGCGCCAAGCCTGGCGCAGTGAGGGGAGCCCGGGTGCTCGCCGCCCGCCTCCCCCTCGAGGGTCAGCTTACTCCGTTCTAACGTTGCCGAGGTGCTCTGCTCTCCCATCAGCCCCTGCGCTGACTTGTCTGTCACTCTGATCACTTGGTGGGAGGGATCTGTGTGGGAATGACTGTCCCCTATCAGGGCCAGGCCAGCCCAACCTCCAGGGAAACCAGGGACAGCGAGGGAGCAAGTCCCACCTCGCTCGCGTGGCGCTGCAGCCAGGCAGGCTGCCTGCAGGAGGTTGGCAGGGACCCTGGTCACGTGGCAGGTGCCTGGCGGAGGCTCTGCCCGCTGGGAGCCGGTCCTGGGCCTGCACGGGCGGCATTGCCCCCTCGCCCTGTCACCCCAAGTGCGACGGGTGGGGGGCTCACTCTCGCGGGCGGGATGGCACTGCAAGGTGCAGATGGAGGTGTCGAAGCTGCTCCCTCCAAGTGGCTCTCCAGGTCCCTGGCTCACAGCTGGCACATCTAGAATCCCATGGGTCGCGTTGAAAAATTCAGGGACCGGCTCCCCTCGCCTGGGCCCCTGCCAGGGACTCTCCCCGACACAGGCCTGCGGCCGGGGTCCCAGCATCTGCCTCTGTGGGTGCTGGGCACTCACGGAGCCTCCACCCCCCAATCTCACTGCGTAACAAGACCTTCTAGTCCAGGGGCGCCTCCCAGCACTGTGTCCGGAGCTCAGGAGCTTCCAGGAGGCACGAAAGGGTTAAGAAGGAAGAAAGTTAGAGGCTGGGGGCTTAGGCCCTGGGAGGCTCTGAGTCTTCCTACCCAAAAGGCCCACTCACGGGGTAAACTGAGGCAGGCAGCGTTCTCAGGCGGCTCGGCCCAGCAGGGGAGACAGTGCCGCAGGGACACAGCGCCGCGTCCAGCTCCCAGTCTGGCTCCAGCCTCTTGCCCGCCTCCGGCTCTTGGTTTCTCCCTGGGACGGGCAGCTCCCTCCTCCGCCTGTGGCTCCAGGGTCACTGCTGTGGGGACAGGCCGCACGGCCCAGCTGGCTGCAGGGCGGGGGCGGGAGGGTGCTTTCACCTCTGGGATGGGGTCCTGCGCTTTCTCACCGGCCCTGTGGTCTCTGCTCTTTCTCTTACAGAGTACAAGGTAAGGGGCCGCCGCCTCACTGACCTCTGACCTCTTCCTGCCGCACCTGCCCAGGTTAAAAGTTCCTTTTGTTGTGCTTTTCCTTTGAGATGTGTGTCCCGTGCAGATGCACATATGTGCCTTCCTCCCCACCCCACCCAGCCCGCGGGCCTGGTCCCCCTCTCATCCCCGTGCGTGGCCGCTGAAGCCAGCCTGCCGCCTCCCCACAGGTCTATCCCTATGACGCCCTTATCGTCACAAACCGGATCCGCGTGAAACTGCCCAAAGACGTGGACCGGACGAGGCTGGAGGTGAGAGGGGCTCGGGGCGGGGGTCCTCCCACTGGGGGCTCTGAGGGGTCCCCCCACACTCATCGCCCGAGTGTCACCACCTGGGCGAGGTGGGGCAGCCCGGCGAGGGCTCGGTGCCCAGGACCCGCGCTGCTTCATGGCGGGACACGGGCTGGTCTGCTGCCCAGCAAAGGCAGCTGTCAGAGGCCAGCTGTTTGTGGTCGGGCAGGAGCGCTGGGAGCAGCGCCTGACTCATCATACTGTGTCTGCCCCGAGGAGGGAGAGTGGGAACCGTCCCGGCCACAGCCTCCCCGGGTCTAGGATAGCACACTGACCGGGGGAGCAAGTACCGTCGACCCTCGAACAGCGTGGGGAGGGGCACTGACCCCCAGCACAATCGGAATGCGAGGGTAATGGTTGACCCCCCAAAACGTAACCACTGTGTCCAGGGGGTGGGTTCCAGGACCCCCAGCAGGCGCTCAAGCCCCTCCTATAAAATGGTACAGAACAGCACACAGTCAGCCCGCGGCTCCGAGGGCTCCCGACAAGGACTGAAGATCTGCTTTGGGTCGATAGTGGGGTTGGGATTTGCGGATGCGCAGCCCAGGGATGCAGGGGCTGACTGGTCGTTAATGAGAAGTCCTCAGAGCGCTGGGCCACGCAGGGAAAGCCCCTGGTCAAGGGCCCGCTGTGCTGCTTAAAGGCCCACGGGGGGCAGCACAGCGTAGGAACCGGTAATATTGTTGCCTGGAAGAGCTGACTTTGCTGAGCACCTACGATGAGCCAGGTCCAAAGTGGCCCACGTGCAGGACTGAACTTAGTCCTCACAGTCGCCCTGCAAAGGAATCAGCAGCCAGACGGTGGGGTTCAGGCAATGGGGCTCACCGCCTGCACGGGGCAGGAATGTTCCGGTGCCTCTGCATGATGATTTCACCGGCGTGAGGGGTCTGGAGATTCCTGAAAGCCCGTCTGTGCCTAGGGCTGGGCACACAGTAGGTGCTGGGAGCATATGAAGCCTACTGTGTGTCCAGCCAGCGCCAGACCCTGCCAGATTGCCAGCCCAGGCGGTTACTGGGGCGGCTGCCGGGAGGGGAGCGATGGGGCCGTGGACGCTGCCACATCCGGGCTGAGGAGGAAGCGCTGAGCTGGCCCTTAGAGGAGGGACAGGACTGTCCGCAGCAGAGAAGGGAGGACAGGGAAGGGTCTGCCAGGCCCTGGGGCCGGGAGCACTGGGCCAGGAGGCACACAGAGAGCGGTGTGCACAGAGCAGGCCGGAGCCCAGCGCCCCTCCCCCTTCGGGGCGCCCACCCCGTGATCTCCAGCCGATCCCTGGCAGCCTCCGCCTGGCCCTTCTCTGCAGGGAGCACTGTGGCTGCTCATTGTTCATTGTGCGGTCTCGTCCCCAGTACAACGTCCCTGCTCTGAAAGGGGCTGCTGGCCAGAGCTCGGGGTCAGGAGCCGCCTGGAGGGCTCCTAACTGGTGTGGCTGTCCCCCAGGGGGCGGGCCCTACGGGCGGTCACTCTCCACAGAGGGGCTCAGAGCTCAGCAAGCTGCCCCCAGGCACAGCGTGGCCGTGGGGCCGAGCCGGCTGGCTGGCTTCTTCCCCTTGGGACTGGGGTCACTTTAAATGACTCCCTCCCACCCCCTTGCACTACAGTACATAATGAAAGGTACAAATATTTCACTTTAAAAAACTCCGGCCTAGTGGATAGAGCGTCAGCCCTCGGACCGAAGGGTCCCGGGTTCAATTCCAGTCAAGGGCACGTTCCTCGGTTGCAGGCTCCATCCCCAGCCCTGGTTGGGGCTCGTGTGGGAGGCAACCAATCGATGTTTCTCTCTCTGTGTCTCCCCCCACCTTCCACTCTCTCTAAAAACTAATAGAAAAATATCCTTGGTGAGGATTAACAGCAGCAACAAAAACTCTGAGGACAGGAGAATGGGTTTCATCGCAGACCTGCGAGCTCGCGCCCAGGGTGCGTCTCCGCCGCTCTCCCCCGGCCTCAGCTGAGCCAACTGGCACATTGGAAAGTTACCCCCCAGGGCCACCCCGCAGTCCTCGGGGCTTGGGGCTGGGATGCAACCGGAGGGACTCGGGGGGGCCTCGTACCCCAGGAGAGGAGGGCTCCTGGTGTTTTCATTTCAGAGGAGGGAGCTTTGTTTTTAGTATAAAAACAATTCGTCACGCTTGTAAAACTCCAGAAAAAGACAAAGAACGTAAGCGTCCCCCAGGGTCCCCACCGGGTCCTCCCTCGGCCCAGCGTGCTTCCTGCACAGGCACCGGCCACTGACTGGTGTCAGGGTGAGCAGGCTCGCAGCTCACGCAGCTGACACCTGCCTGTTTCTTCTAAACTTGTCGTGAACGGTTCCACGCCAGCTCATGTGGCCTCCCACCCCTTTAAACAGCTGCGTGGCGGCTCCGTGTCCGTGTCCTGCACATGGGAGGGCCCTGGAGGCCAGGCATTGCTTCTGCTCGCTCCCCACTGGCTGAGTCTGTCTAGCTGGGCTGGGCTGGCTGTGTGCCAGCCGGAGGATGGGCGGTCTGGGTGGACAGCTGGCAGCCCCCGCACCTCTAGGGTCAGGAAGGAGGACACCTCTGTCAGGATGCTGTCCACCCCACCGCATGCTCCACTGGGCATCACAGCCAGGGGGTGAGCTTGTGCCAGGCACTGAGTGGGTCCCGGGTGCAGGGTGCGCACACCAGCAGAAGCTCCACCCCCACCCCCGGTCTGGTGGGGGAGGCAGATGCCAATCAGCTGATGACCCCAATGAGTGTGCAGAATTACACACTGAGAGAGGGGCTCTAGGGGGGGGGCGGCGGGTAGGTGGTTGAAAACAGGCCAGAGTTCACGGTGCAGAAAGTGTGCCTGCACGTGTGAGTGTAAGCCGAGGGATGGAGGAGCAGAGGATCCCAGGAAGAGTTCACAGTATGTGCAAAGGCCCTGGGGCAGGAGGAAGCAGGGTTGTTTGAGGAGGAGCTGCGAGGAGGCTGAGGTGGCTACGCTTGAGCAGGGTGCCCTAAGGATAGGTCAGGTCTTACAGGGCCCTGGGCCATGTTAAGCAGTTTGGTTTTGGCTAGAAGTGTGGATTTAAAAAAAACACACACATGTTTTTATTGATTCTTAGAGAGAGAGGGGGAGCGAGATAGAAACATTGATGAGAGAGAAACATTCATAAGCTGCCTCCTGCATGCCCCCTCCTGAGATCCAGCCCCCACGCCGGGCATGTGCCTGGATCGGGAATCGAACCGATGACCTCCTTTTTTTTAAGTATTGGGTAGTTTTGTTTCCTTCTCTTTTTAAAATTTTTTTTTACCCCCACCCTCCCCTGCCTTCCCGCTGAGGTGTGGCGGTCTGATCGATGCTTCTGTCTCTGGACCTGTTTTTGTTCATCAGTGTATGTTGCTCACCGATGACCTCTTGGTTCATGAGCCGACACTCAGCCGTGGCGCCACCCTGGCTGGGCGAAGCAATGGCTTGTAAGTTGGGGTTAAATGGTTAGGGCTGTAATGTAAAGCGATGCCCGTGGCTGCATTGTGAGGCCTGGATTGGCCGTGTGGGTGCAGGGAGCCTATTCAGGAAGGAATTCGGTCGCCTGAGCAAGAAATGGTGGACAGTGTGGTGGCAGTGCTGAGGCAGGAAGTGGGCGGGGCCCAGCAGTATCTGGGGGTCGAGGGGGCCGCCTTGGCGATGGGCGGTGTGTGTGGTGAGACTCCAGGCTGTCAGGACAGGTGGCGGGCGCAGTGGTCACTGGGCAGAGCGCCAGGAGCCGGGACTCCGACGATGATTGTCGCTCTGGCCCAGGACGCCCAGCGGGAATTCAGGACACTCAGAGCGAAGGTCACCACGGAGGCCCCTGCCAGCACTTAGTAGGTGCTCAGCAAATGCTGGTGACTTTAGGGGCTCTGGGACAATCCCCTGCTGTGGACAGTGTGGTCACATGGGAAGCGGGCAGATAAATCGTGTGACCCCAATGGGCAGAGTGAGACCAGCAGGCCCACTCCCCAGTTTACCGCCCTCCCAGCGATCCCGCGCTCTGTCCTGGAGGGGCTGGGGCCAGCCCTGCCTCAAGGGCCTCGTGCCTTGGCGCAGCTCACACCCTTCCTGCCTTTGGCAGTGACCCTCTGAGGGTCTGCTGTGCCGGAGCTTCCGGTTGGAGGGCAGGGAGCCTTGCCTGTCCCAGACAGACCCAAGCCCCTCTCCTCGGAGGCCACGCCCTGCACCTGGGCTGGCAGTGCCGAGACACCTCACCATTGTGTTCGTGGGGCAGCCTCTCACTGTCCAGGGCGGCATTCTTAGGGTCGGGATGGCCTGGGTCCGGCTGTGTGACTGTGGGCGAGTGACTCACCTTCTCTGAGCCTGCCTCCTCACCGGTTGGGGCGTGGCTGCCTGTGCTGCTGGGTGGTGTGAGCGTGTATCCGTTGTTGAGAGGCAGTCACTGGGCACCGGCCCTGAGCAAGCCCAGGCGGGGGCAGCGTGTCCAGCTCGGTGACTTGGTCCATGTCGTCCCCACTTTCCCAACCTGACGAGAGGCACGTACGTAGGTGACAGCGGGTGAGAGAAAGCTTTCCGCGGGATGGGCTGAGGCTGGCTGAGCGCCATGCTTGCTAGGCACTTCATGACAGGCCAGGGGCGTGTGCAGAGGCAGCGTGGGCACGAGGCTCGGCCACGGGGAGGAGAACGAGCTCGCTCCCGGATGCACAATCCCGGGAGCAAGTGGGGCTCTGAGGCTCTACCCGTCCGGTTAGGGAGCAAACCTTGTCCCAGCGCTGACGCCGCCCCGGCTCCTCCAGGCACTGGGCACGTGGGCACACACGGTTTTCACGCTCAGTGCAGTGGCTGCGGGCCTCGAGGCGGGGGCGCTGGAGGCCCCTCCTGGGCCCCGGCTTCTGGGAGGCAGAGCAGGCTGCCTGCTGAGGGCTGTGTCACTCAGGGG